GGTCCCTCAGCCTGGCCTGTGGGGATCAGGCTGAATCCGTGCACCAGGCCCCCAACATCCCCTGAGGGGTCCCGGATTGCAAGAAGGTGCAGGCCTCTAGTAAATATACATGAATCAATTTGTCAAAGTTTCTAAATAAAAAGATTATCTTGTATCAATCAGGCTAGGCCAGCCGTGGGCAAACTATGGCCCGCGGGCCGGATCCGGCCCGTTTGAAATGAATAAAACTAAAAAAAAAAAGACCGTACCCTTTTATGTAATGATGTTTACTTTGAATTTATATTAGTTCACACAAACACTCCATCCATGCTTTTGTTCCGGCCCTCCGGTCCAGTTTAAGAACCCATTGTGGCCCTCGAGTCAAAAAGTTTGCCCACCCCTGGGCTAGGCTAAGCTCTGGCACATCAAGAAACGAGTTCAAAATCTCAATAACTTAACACATAAAAGTTTCTTTCTTGCTCAAAAAAAAGCTATGTGGGGCCCTGGCTGGTGTGGCTCGGTTGGTTGAGTGTTGTGCCATGCACCAAAAGGTCACCGGTTGGATTCCTGGTCAGGGTACATGCCCTGGTTTCAGGCTCAAACCCCAGTAGGGAGTGTGTAGGAGACAGCCAATAGATGTTTCTCCTTCACAGCAATGTTTCTCTCTCCCTCTCCCTTCCTCTCTCCCTAAAATCAATAAAAAACATACATTTTTAAAAAAAAGCTATTGTGGGTTCATGGAGGCGGAGGTGGCTGTGTTCCATTTAGTCATGCAGGACCCCAGGCTGATGAAGGAGACCCTATCTGAAGTGTCACTGGTTGTCTTGGCAGAGAAAAGGGGAGCCAGAGGGTTGTGTTTGGGCTCTTAAATCCTTTGGCTTGGAAGTATCACAGCCACTTATGCTCACAGCCCATTGGCTGAAAAGGCCGTATGCCACTGCCTTCCTGCAAGGTGGCTGTTCATCTCCTCGCAGTGACCTGGAGGGGACGCCACAGCCTCCTCCCCACCCTCCTCCTGCTGCTCATCCCGGGATTGCTAGAGCTCCTGAGCCCTTTGCTGGCCACCCTGAGCCCTGGTTTTATTGTGTGGTTATCTGATCCCTTGGGAAGGGTTCTTATGATACGTTCTTTTCCAAAACGTATCCTGAGAATAGGTGTGGCCCTCTTGAAAAACTAGTATACTTCCTCTTTTCCACAAGCAGTGAGTATTAGATCACCTGTCTTGATCACCTTTCAGTCTGGGCTAATCAACTCACAGCAAACCTTGGAGTCCCTATGTCAACCCAGGAATTTTATAGCATTGCTCCTTCCTTTACCCGATTATAATACATTTCCTATTTCTTTAATCATGACTTGGTTGAGTGCATGATTTTCATCGTCTACCAACCCCCACCTCTTTGGGAAGTTTCCAGGTTTACATTACACATAAATTAAAATAGAGGTTAAAAAAAAAGAGCTTCCATTCAGTGAATGCTTCCTTGGTGCCAGCTGCTTTATGTGCCTTTTCTCACTCATTCCTTAGGGCAACCCTATGAGATGTAATTGTCAGCACTGGATGAGTAAGGAAACAAGCTCAGAGGGGCTATGTGGCTTGCCAAGCCCACACAGCCAGCAGAGGGAAACTAAACCCACTCTACTTGATGCCAAAGGCTGGGTTCCTAACCACTTTTATTTTACATCACATAGACAGACGATTTCATTCAGGTAATGGGTCCTGTCCTCACCCAGCATTTGCTTTCATTTAATTCAGATTTTCTGTGATCTATGAAAATTGGAAATGTTTGTGAGCCAGAATCTTTCATTTTTTTTAAGCTGGTATGGTGGCCTCTTGGGGAAATAGAAGGTTTTGTATTATAGCTTCTGGTTTCAATCTTTTTCATTTTCTTTTTAAAATTGAAAAGTAATATATTTACAGAGTTGTGCTTAATGAATTTACACACACACACACACACACACACACACACACACACATACAGGTAACCACCACCTAGATCAAGATCTAGAACATTCCCAGCACCCCAGAGTTTTCCTCGCATCATTTTCCATCTCCTCCCTTCCCCAAGCTAATTGATATTTTGACTTGTATCACCATTTACTAGCTTGCCTGTTCTTGAACTTTGTATAAATATTGCACTCCTTTGTATCTATCTCTTTCTCTCATCATTACATCTGTGAGGTGCATTCACGTTGTTGCATGTAGCAGTTCAGTCTTGGTTCCTGCTGTGTGGTATTTCATCTTAGGACCATGCCACCATTTATTTACTCATTCTGCTGTTGAATGACATGGGTATTGTTTTCAATTTCTGGCATATAAGGGGGGGAGGGGGGAAGCTGCTGTGAACATTTTCATTGCCTTTTGGTGGATTTATTAATTTCTTTTTGGCTGGTATTGTTGTACCTGTTTTTATCTCCTTGAATTTCGTGGGTATCATTTGGCTTGTTAGATTTAATAGCTCAGGTTTTTATAGGTCATGGAAGTCCTATACCAGTGATCGGCAAACTGCAGCTCACAAGCCACGTGCGGCTCTTTGGCCCCTTGAGTATGGCTCTTCCACAAAATACCGACTTCTGCGCATGGGCCACGAAGTTTCAATCACACTGTACATGCGCACCCGCACGTGGTATTTTGTGGAAGAGCCACACTCAAGGGGCCAAAGAGCCGCATGTGGCTCGCGAGCCACAGCTTGCTGACCACTGTCCTAGACCATAAGTATGTTAATATCTAGTCTTACAATATAAAGAAATGAATGGGTTCAATTTCCATCTTATGAAAAATAATTAGTAACAAAGCATAGTATTTAGTCTTCAGAGTACTCACAGTTTGTGTAGATGTTTTTGTTTGCAAAACTTAGCATATTGGTCAGAATACTTCTCTTTCATTTGCAAATTACAGAAACCCAATTCAAAATAACTTAAGTCAAAAGGGAATGTAATGAACTAAGTATTCAGTGGTTGTCTGCCTTCAGGCATGACTGGATCCAGGTGCTTCAAAAATGTCAATAGCACCCTAGCCAGTTTGGCTGGTTTGGCTCAGTGGACAGAGCAACAGTCTGCGGACTAAAGGGTCCCAGGTTCAATTCCAGCCAAGAGCACATGCCCGTGTTGTGGCCTCGGTTTCCCCCCCGCCCCCAATACTCCCTTCCCCATAGGGGACGTGCAGGAGGCAGCCAATCAATGACTCTCTCTCATCATTGATGTTTCTATCTCTCTATCTCTCTCCCTTCCTCTCTGAAATAAATTTAAAAAAATTTTTTAAATGTCATCAGCATTTGATTTCTATTTCTATTTATCTCTTGGCTCTGTTCTCTCCCCTGTTGACATCAGAGAGCTTCTCTCTTCCCAACATGTCTGACCAAAGTCCCAGAATTGAATCTTATTGGTTATGACCCTGACCCAATCCTGTGGCCAGAAAGAAAATAATTCTGATTGGTTCATATGTCCACACCTGGACTGAGGGTGGGACTGTTGCTCAAGGAAAACTGTTTCCATAGAGAAAGAAACGGATACTTGGCAGAAACAAAATAAAGAAAAATGGACTTACACTATGCTGAGAAATATGGAATTGGAAAATGCACATCCTAAGACTATAGGTGATGGAAGAAGGTTAATTGTTTCTAGCTCTGATTACTCACCCGAAAGTCTAACCATTTTTGTTTGCATAAAGATAAATTTGTAAACATTAGCTGAACTTTGAAAATTGTCTACTTCCATTTTTGAAGGCCTCACCATTCATCTAATGCTTGTTTGCCTGGAGATATTTTTGTCTTTTATTTTCTCTTCTCTCTCCCCCTTCCCATATCGATTTAATCCACAAATCCTATTGATTATTCCTTTAAATTTTCTCCCCTACTTATTATTATTTTTACTGTTACTACTGATACTACATCAGCAGTTCCAGGCTTATAGTCTATCATTGGAGCAACCCTAGTGACATAAGGACACGTCTTTCCCAGTAATTCTAGTCAAAGTCTTAGAAGACTGAATAGGGTTATGTACCCATTCCTGAACCAAACCCTGGGGCAAGGGCATGGTGGACAGTGATTGGCCAGGCCTGGGTCATGTGACCATCTTTGGTACCAGGAATGCCATCAGCTCTTCCTGTATCACCTGGACCAAGAGTGGGAGAGGGGCAGATGTCCAGAGGAAAATAAGGGCATTGATGCAAAAAAAAAAGGGGAGATGGGTAATAATCAAGTAAAAGCAACCGATATCCAGCATAGTTATAAATCAGAAGTGTTGAAGTTTTACTTTATAAATTTCAACATATGCCGTGTCTATAGGTTAGAGTTCATGGAACTCATAAAATCATATTTTCAAACTGGAAGGGATGGTACCGATTGTCTCCTTACCCAAGTCCTCTAGTTACCATTAACCATCTTCCTTCAGGCATTCATACTAATTTATGCTTTGAACTCTAGAACCACTAGTGCAATCAAAGGACTCAAAAAGTCCTTGTTCCTTCCAAGCTTTCGGTTCATAGTACCCCTCCTTCCCAACCGAGGGATTATATTGGTCAGGATATAAGTTTGGCCACACATATCAGAGACCCAAAGAAACAGTGGTTTACGTAAGATAAATGTTTCTTTTTTTCTTGACATAAAAGCCCAAGCTGATGTGTCAGCACTGACCTGTGACATCATCAGCAACCCAGGCTTCATCCCTCTGTTGAGCTGCTATTCCTGGGGTGGTGGGGTGGGTGCTGCCTTTGTGTGCATGCCCAAGATGGCACACCATCACCTCCGCATTCCAGCCACAAGAAGCAAGGGCTGAGAAGGGGACGCATACCCCTTCCTTTTAGCAGCACAACCTGAAAGTTGTACATATGGCTTTTGCTCACATCCCATTGACCACACTAATGGCCACAGCTGGGTGCACAGGGGGCTGGGAAATGTAGACTTTATTCTGGGCAGCTGTGTACCCAACTATGAAAGAAAGAAGGACAAATACTGGGAGTTAACCAGCAATCTCTGTAGGGAAGAAAGGAAAACATCTGACCTTTTCCTTCCCTTTTTGTTTTTCAGATTTAGAAAAGATACCTGAGTCGCGCAAATGCAGGAACACTTGAACATTCCACGGTAAAGGATCTGTCCCAGCATGTCTGCCTATTACAGGAATAATGGGTATGAGGAAGAGCCGGATTACCCTGGTTATTCAGGGTCTCGGAACCACACGCAGGGGTATTTGAACACCCAGGATTATCCAAGTTCTCTGAACAACTCCGCTTACTCCAAAACCAGGGGGAACCCATACTCTGCAGACTCCAGAACAAGTCCACACCATCCCCGGTCTCTAGCAGAACCAGATTACCCTGGATCTTTGAGTAATCCAGACTATCCTGCCATCAGAAACGATCCGTACTCTGCAAGCTCCAGAAGACACCCAGGCTATCCCCGGTCTCTAGCAGAACCAGACTATCCCGGGTCTCAGAATAACTCAGACTACCCTGGCGCCAGGAGCAATCCATACTCCGCAGGCTCCAGAAGAAGCTCAGACTATCCCACATCTCTGGCACAGCCAGATGCCTCTTGGAGCAATCCGTACCATCCATACTCATTCAAAGAGCCAGACTACTCTGAATCTCCACGAAATCCTGACTTTGCAGGTCCCAGAGGCAGTGGGAACTATGCGGGCTCCAGAACAAATCCTGATTATCTTGGCTTCTCGGGAGAACCAGACTATCCCGGAGCTCAGGGAAATGCTACCCACCCTGGCCCCAGAGCCAATTCCAACTATCCAGGCTCTAGAAGGAATCAAGGATATGCTGGTTCCAGAATCAAACCATCCATAGATACCCTGGGAGAGCCTGATTACCCAGGTGCTGAGAATCAATCTTACTCTCCAAACTTTTTAGAGAAACCAGACTATCCTGGCGCTGAGGACTATCAGAACTCTCCAAATTTTCGGGGGGAGCCTGATTACCCAGATGCTGAAGATGGTCGTGATTATGGCTCTTCCAAGCCTCCGGAAATGACCAGGGGGTAAGTGCAGGCATCTCCCTCCACTGGGGGTGGGGGCTGAATCAGTGAAACTCGGTTGGCATTGTTTGGGTTAGGGACACATATTGTGGTTTTCGTGACCTGAAGTTAGGTGAAACTTTCATACCTACCTGTAGACCCTACCTGGGCCATGGACTCTCAGCCTGAGGCTTCAAGCCTTTACCTGAACGTAATCTTTCATCAGCTCTTGCTTGAATAACACCTTCCCCAGGCTCCACCTGGTATCTAATTCCTGTAAAACATTTAGATCCCCCCTGTTTTGACCGGCTACTTTGCAGGTCAAAGACTTGATAGTTACGACCACATTTTAACCAGAAGTGTATCAACAGGAATGCATTGCAATAAAGAAAATCTTTTGAAGGTCTAACTCCATGAATTCAATTTGATTCTTCAATTGGTTATCTTTATGGCTGAGCCATTAAAAAAAAACTTGTAATCTTCCCTCAATTTTTGGTCATTGACCAATTTTACTAGATGCAGTTCTAGTTTGAGTGACTTAGTTCTACCAAATCTAATTTCTTCCTGGGTTAAAATTTTCAATGTCCATGTTGCCAACAAGATGTAACTCTTTAGTAAGTGTGTGGTTTTTTTAATCGATAATAAGTCCTAGCCAGTGTGACTCAGATGATTGGAGTGAGATCCTGTACACCAAAAGGTTGTGGTTCGATTCTGGTCAGGGCACATACCTAGATTACAGGTTGAATCCCCATACGGGGCAGGCAACTGATAGATCAATGCTTCTCTCTCATCTTTCTCTCTCTTCCTTTCTCTCTCTCCCTTCCTCCCTCTCACAAAAAAAAAAAAAATCAAAAAAAACATACCCTTGGGGGATCAATAAAAACATACCCTTGGGTGAGGTTTAAAAAAATTGGTAACGCCCTAACTGGTTTGGCTCAGTGGATAGAGCGTCCGCCTGCAGACTGAAAGGTCCCAGGTTCGATTCCGGTCAAGAGCATGTACCTTGGTTGCGGGCACATCCCCAGTAGGAGGTGTGCAGGAGGCAGCTGATCGATGTTTCTCTCTCATTGATGTTTCTAACTCTATCTCTCTCCCTTCCTCTCTGTAAAAAAAAAATCAATAAAATATATTTTTTTAAAAATTGGTAACAAATTTTACCATGTGAAATTCTAATCAATATGAGTCTCATTTTGCATGTACTATTTCTACTAGTAATATTTATGAAATCAACAAAAACTAATGGCTTGTTTTATCTCAAGGAACAAGGATATGGGATTTGGGTATGTACCAGGGTCAAAATGTCTTTGTCCTAAATAGTAGGGTTAACAAGACCAGGTCAAAATGTCCTCCTTGGTCTTGTCCTCCCTGCCTGATTCATCATTCCAAAATACACTTCTGACCCTGTCACTCTTTTGCTTCTCATCTTCCATGAGACCCTATGGCCTTTGGGGGAAAGGCTGCACCTGTGAGGACATTTTAAAATGAGGATGCCCTGGGCTAATTGTAATATGCCAGCCAAAGACTTTACCTCCTTTCTCCACTCTTATCCCTTCTCTACCTCAACCTTATATCTAATGTCAGTGTTCTTGATCTTGGCTGATTCTTAGAATTACCCGACCACCTGGGAAACTTTAAAAATAATACAGATGCCTGGGCCCAACTTTCAGAGCTTCTGATTTAATTGTCTGGGTGGGGTCTGGGAATTGGTATATACATAAAATTGAGAACCATTGTTAATTGATTTAAATGAGCCAGATTAATTTATTTTCATACCATTCCCTTTATATATTCAGCACTTTTTGGTCTCATACCTTTATTTATGCTGTTCTTCATCCTTGAAATGCCCTCCTCTTGACTCTTTATGTATGAATTTATCCTTCCAATCTCAACTTGGATGTAGATTCCTACCCCTTCCCCCCAAAACTCCCAGCCAGAATTCTTCTCTCCTTCCTCCAAACTACTTGGGCCTATTTTCTGATCCTCAACAATTACTACTTGTATTATTATTGCTTATGGCTGTTTCTAAGACGCTCTACCGGGTTTTATTGGGAGTTCCTTGAGGGTAGATACTCCAAGTCTTTATCTTTATGTCCTCACCTCCCAGCCCATGCCTAATACATGGTTGGTATTTATTTGGCAATTGTAACATGGATGGATGGATGAATGGATGAATGAATGAATGGGTGACTGTCCTTACCATGCTACTGGATGGATGTTGATCCATCATGTTGGGATTTCAGGGTGCTCAGCAGAACATCTTCAGTCCATCATGGGCGTGTCAGCCCCTTGGGCTTGCTTGCAAGGCAGCATGAAGAATATCCTGAAAACATTGAAATGGAATCCATGGAGATGGCAAATCCCTATGGCCACTCTGATAATGGCTATGGTAAGCATTTGTTAAAATGAGATCATATCCTGGGAAGAAAGTAAAATTCAGTGGACTTAGGGCAACAATCATTAAAGATTTACAGTAATAGAAGAATTGGTGTATCTCTCTCCACTCAAGCACCCACATTACAAGGAATGAGAGCTCAGTGTCTAGAGAAGAAGCAGTATCATTAAGTATCAGAGCAGGCCAGGTAGGGGTTGTGCGTACATGATGTAGCCAACGTCCAGGTTCCATGCCTTGCGGTTATGCGGGGAAATGTGGGTTCAGTGTGGCCAGATCCTCAGATTTTTCTAAAGAAGTGAGAAATCTTTGTTTTTATGTGAACGTCGTCTTCCCCCCACCCCCCCGATTATTACATGCTCCAAAAGAATAATAAAAATGTAAAAAACTCTGAGCTGGGCAAACAAAATCACTGGTGAGCTAAATTCAGTTTGTGTGCTGCCCGTGGCCAGCTTTAGACAGTCAGCACCTGTGTATTCGAAACCTACTGTGAGGCAAAGGGAATAAGAGGCAGCTCTGCCCTCAAGTTACTTAAAGCCTGAGTGGGCACATTAAGACTGAAGAAAAGGAGCAAGCAGACTATTAATATGAGAAAAATCACATCATCTTCAGAACCTGCTGTGTAAAGGTTTGGCTCTGGGAGGCAAAGTAAATTCTACCAGTTCTTATTTTGTCAGAGGAAAAGGGTACTTGTTACTGGTAGAGGAAGCCAGTTTATTAAGTCAATGTTGCAGGAATTTAGAGCCCACGGGGACAAGAAAAGGTAGGGGTGTTCAGCCAAGAACAGAATGAGGGACCCAAGTGCTGGTTGGAGCAGATGGAGGGTTGATCAGCCCTGAAGAGGCAGGTGGGGAAGAGTTGGAAGCAGGCAGAGAGGAGGGGGTGGGGTGCATTGCCGTGCACTAATGAGAAACACCCACTGTTACACATTTGCACAGAAAACATTCATTTAATCTATTCCAAACGTTATGCCACGCATGATCAATGGGGCAAAATCAATCCTAAGGGATGAAATTTTATTTTAAAAGGCCATAAAAAACCTTCCTCCTTTTTATATATAAAGCACAGATACACATACTGCACATGAATAGGTATACAGTCTAATGGATAGTCTATCTGTGGTATTAACATTTCATGGGGAAGGGCAATGAGGAAGAAATGTCTAAAAAGACACCTATGGGCCAATAATGAATAAAAGATACTCTGTCTGATTTAGAGGCTAAGATACGGAAGCTCAGAGAGGTTAAGTAACATGCCCAAAGGCATGGCCCACAGCGAATAAGTAGCGAACCTGGGAACGGATCTTTGGCGAGAAGTTCCGGAGCCTCCTGCAGTGCACTTTTGTGCACGTCACCATCAGAATGTGCTCTGTTTCCTCTTTGAGGTGTTGAGCCTTTAATGTTAACCATGGGTTGAATCAAAATATGGTGAAATGGGACACTGTCATGAAGACACAGGGACTGGACTCTGTCCCTAAGAAAATCGTGTCATATTTTACATTCATTTATGCACCATCATAACATGCTAGGACGGAACCTCTAGAATCATCTAGATAAATTTTTTTTTGCTTAAATTTTTTTTAAAAATTAAGACTATTTTTTAGGTTCACGGTAACATTGAGGGGAAGGTAACAGAAATTTCCCATGTATATCCTCAGCCCCCACATAAGTAGCTTCTGTTATGATCAAGATCCCCTCCAGCGTTGGTACATTTGTTACAATCAATGGACCTACAGTGACACATCATTATCATCCAAAGCCTATAGTTTACATCAGTGCTCACCCTTGGGGTCATACATTCTATGGATTTGGACAAATGTATGATAGATATGTATCCATCATTATGGTATCATACAGAATAGTCTCACTGCCCTAACGCCCCTTGGTACTCCACCTAGCATCCCTCCCTCCTAGACAAGTATTTTTCAAACAATTAACAAGTTGTGAAATTAATTTTTTAAAATGAAATGGAAAAGAATCAGAATATATCAGAATGCTGTTTATGTAGTGAAGCAAAGTGTTGTTTTGGGAAACTTGTTTTTTAGTTATACATGTGAAGGTATGTCCTGGATCTCAGTGTAACCATTATTTTTAACTATACTTATAGTCAAATGAAAACCATCAATCAAGGCTGTTTGCATTGAATAGCATTGGTTTTGAATTTGTGTCCTATTTTTCACCCAAGTGCTAATCATTAGTCTGTTAGAACATTGAGGTCAGGGTCTCAGTCTTACTGACCATTGTTTGCTCTGTAATATCTAGTGCGGTGGGATTAATGGTGATGTCTCCTGCCTCTTCATTCCAGTGAACCCTGCTTATGTGGATGAAAGTAGCCCTGGCCCAGCTTATGGAAACTCACCGTATGGAGGTGATTGGTACAAGTCACCCCAAGGTAAGACAGTGACCAAAAATTCAACCCTAGAGACATTGCCATTCAAGCAATGCAGACATTGCCATTTCTTCTTAGCCTCCAGTGTGGTACTAAGCAGTACAGTACTTCCTAAATCTATCATAATGGGGGTTCCTTTTAGACATGAAGAATTTTTTCTCTTCTATATATCAAGGTGGCTTCATTAGGATTCTTCTGGTTGCAAGTGACAGAAACCCAAGTCACACTGGCCCAAAGTGAACTTATTGGCTTGTGCATGGGGAAGGATATGGGGGAAACAAAGAATTAAAGGTAGAATTACTTTCCGGCACCTGTACAGTGCCTGACACATTACTAGTGCTCAGAGATATTTGTTGAATGAGTTACAGCAACCAGGGTCTCTGCATGTGAAGCTAGGGGTTTATTGCCACCTGGACTCTCTTTCCCTCCATCGATTTCTCACCTGTGCTGGACTTCTCCACAGGCCAGGTAGCTTGACCAATAGCAGGGCTAGATACACACCCTCACCTCAACAACCTCATCAGAAAGTCTTTCTTTCTCCCTGGGTCTGTTAAGTCAATGCTGAGAAATGACTCTGTCCAGCACTTTTTGGGGCCATATGCCCACACGTGGACTAATCATGTTTACCATGGGGAGGAAGATTGGGTCACATGTTCATCCTGTGGCTAATAGATCTAATGGTGAGGTGGCAGCGCATTGATCAACTTTTTTCTGAATCATCATATAAGTATTAATGATGGTGGAGTGTAGGAGCAGTTGGACTGGTGAAAGACAGAAGGCTTTGAAATCAGTCAGGAAGCTTTGTAATGACCACTGTGTGTCACAATAAAGGTCCGATCAGAGGCAGAGACTAAGAAAGAAAAAGGATACCCAATCAGTGTTGCTCAGTGGTTAAGTGTCAACCCATGAACCAGAAGGTCATGTTTTGATTCATAGTCAGGGCACATGCCCGGGTTACGGGATCAATACCCAATTGGGGTATGTGCAGGAGGCAACCGGTCAATGATTCTCTCTCATCATTAACGTTTCTATCTCCCTCCCCCTTCCTCTCTGAAATCAATAAAAAAATTTTTTTAAAAGAAATAAATAAAAATGAAGAAACAGAGGAGAGAGGCCATGGAATGCTGGAACCTAGAGGCAAATCTGTAAACAATAAACAAACCCATGGCGTCCTCTATCTAACAACAAAAATTGAGGAGTTCCATGACTTAAAACTATAGTATTTCTCGCCTTCAAGCCCCCCATCTCATATAATAACTAGAGGCCCGATGCATGAAATTCGTGCAAGGGGCTCGGCCCTCACAGCCCCAGCCCCTGCCTCAGCCCTCAAAGCCCTGGCTTCCTCCAGAAGGTCATCTGGAAGGTCATCCGGACAGTTGTTCCACTGTTCCGCCGTCTGGTCTAATTAGCATATTACGCTTTTTATTATTATAGAAATTTAGCCTCATTCTTAAGAGCCTTCTCAAGGAGGTGTGTATCTTCCACAAAGGTTAGCTATTGCTACTTGGGAGAGAAAACCATGGGGACATAAACAATCTCCGTTTGGTTCCCACTGGAGCAGAGAATGACTTTAACTTTTGGGGAAAAGAAAAGTCTTTAAACTTCGTCAGACTGCTCTATCTAGCCAGCATGAGGTTTGGGGCTCTGGTAAAAGAGGAGCCCCTAGGAAGCAGAGAGAAGTAAAGAAATGAAGGACCCAAAAATGAACATGTCTTTCTTCACTGTTTGCTTTGAGTTGGTTCTGGTTCTCCAACCATGTACAGTTCATTGGAGGACAGCCTTCTGATCAAAGGTCACTTTGATGGATTATGCACCTAAGGGAGCACCTGGCACAGGGTGGGTGCACATAAATATTCATTCTTTTATGAATGAAGGAGCGATACATCAACATCTTGTCGCATGAAGGGGCCAGGATGAAGTGATTAAGAGGCCCTGCTTTGGGGCCAGACAGAGCTGGGTTTGCTCTGCTACTTTCTGCTTTAGTGATCCCAGTTTTCTTGCTATAAAATAGGAGTTATTAGGATACCTACCTCATAGGGTGATGATGAAAATTAAATAATATACTCTATTTAAGGTACTGGTCTTGCCATAATGGCAGATATTACTGTTCATTGTCGTTGGTGGGGAGGAGAAGAGTTCTAGTCCAATCCTGCTGTTTAATGAGTGTGACGGGAGGAGGGTCAGTTCATTTCTCTGAATCTCAATTTCTCTAATTATTAAATAAGCAGCTGGGCTGAGGGGATTTCCAAATCGGGTCATTGGGATAGGAATTGTGTTCAGGCGCCTGGCACTGAAATTGGACGGTGGCTTAGCAACAAAGGGGTTTATTTTTCTCACGTAACAGGAAATGTGGAGGGAGGGAGTCAATGTTTGTACGGCAGCTCTGCCCATGTGTCCTCAAGGACTTTGGCTCCTTCCATAGCTTTTTCCTCCACCAACCTCAGCAGGTGAATGTTTTTCCTCTTGTTTTCAAAAGGGTGGCCTCTAGTCAGGAGGAAAACCAGGCCAACTGTCACCTTTTAAAGGGCATTCTGGCACAGAATGGAATTCGAAATCTCAGAAGGAAGGCGGGGGAGGGTGGGCAGTGACCAACCAAAGAACTTGTATGCATATATGAATAACCCATGGACACAGACATAGGGTGGTGAAGGCCT